ATGTAAAAATAAACTTTTGTAATTAAAAAAGCTCCCTTGCCTCTTCCACTGTTTTTGGTGAGTATGAAGTCAGAAGTTTGCAACCCAGAAGAGGGCTGTTGCCTGAACCCAACTATGCTGGCATCAGGAGCTTAGATTTTAAGTTCTAGAACTATGAGTAATAACTTTCTGCTGTTTTATAAACCAGTACAATAATATTTTGTTATAGCTGCTGGAATAAACTCAAAGTCTATCCCTAACCTAATCTGGAAACCTAATCGCATCCCACCACTTTTGCCTTATTTTATTTGTTAGAAGCCACTCACTTGGTTCAGCAAAAACTTGAGCACCAGAAATCCCTGTCTACACCCAGGGACGCCACGTAAGGCAATACTTCTCAAATTAATCCTGCTGAAGGACCAGCCCCTATCCTCCAAGCCCTCATGCTGCCCCGGTCTAGAGAGGTCAGCATTTTGTAAAGTAAAAATTAATATCTAGAAAAATAAAATAACAGAGGCATAGAAAAGCATCATGTGTTGGATGTCATGTCAGTGCTATAAAAATGTCTAAGTACTCTTAATTCTATCCCTCACTTGATCTAGTCCAGAAACAATTTGCAGACTAGCACTGACTGTAGACCACTTAAAAGGATCTTAAATGCAGATAACTTTTCAAGATTTTTATAAACCAGTGTTTTGCACTTTCCTTTTTAAAGTTTTTAAAAGATTTATTTATTTATGCATATAGAACTGGGGTATGGGTGTGGGGAGGGGCAAAAGGATTCACTAGAAACAGAGTGGGGAGCAGAACAGCAGATGTACTGAAATGCACTGCTGAGGGGAGCAGTGGGCAGGTCAGGAGAGGTCTGTCTCATTATATGGGTCACCTCCCATGGCTGGGGATAGGACTCATGCTGCAGTGGCTGCTGTAGCTTCCTAATACTGTGGTTTAATCTGTTGCACCACCAGGGAGGGCCAACTTTTCTCTTAGCTATTTGTGAACCCAGAGGTTCTAGAAATTAAAACAAAACAAAACTTAAGTCATTCATTCTAATCACACTTCACTTTCTCTCCATTTATATAAAAGGGAGTTTTGTTGTGATAAGGTCAAGGGTGTGTGAGTACCCTGTTTAATATTTTACTTCAAGGATTACTTCTGTGCCCTTCTTTTCACCAGTCACACTTTTGAAATAAGTCTGACATATTATGGTAATTATTTCACATGATAAAAAATTGAGGGGTGAGGCCCCCTCCCCGATTCATGTTAGCAAAAAAGTTTGTATGCCCTTCTGATCCTAGTCTATGCAGATCCCCCAAAACAAATCTCAAGTGTAAAATCCAAGTTTCAGCTGAAAAAAAAAAATCTGAGCACCAACTTTTCAAGATTCTGAAGATTCCACCTTAAAGAAGTTAACCATTTCTGAAGTCACTGACTTAAACACTTCCTCTTTTCTTCTATAGTCATTTACATCATTCTTTTGGCACTTGAGTACCTTTTCCCCTCCCTAATGAAACCATACACTAGACAAGCAAAAGAACTCCATTTCCTATCCTGCCCTGTGTCAGGCAGCAAAGAAGGTCCTCAGTGAAACCTGAATGCAGAACCCAGACATTTTCCAAACCCAGAACCCAAATCCCCCGTTCAGGGATTAAATGCTGTGAGCTGGGGCTTCTGTCCCAAATCTCATTAACCCAGCAGCATCTGTTTTCCTCTCTCTTCGCTTCCTCCAACCCATCCTCCAAGATTTAAAGCAGAAGCAACTGCTGCCTCTGCTCTCCTGGCGTCAAACTGAAATCTACTAGCCCCAAGAAAACCAAGCAGAAGGGGGTCTTTAAAAACAAGTCTGGCTCAACTCTTGCACAACTGTCAGCCCCCTGTTGACAACCCCTCCTCTTCCTCCCTCCTCCTGGTCCCAACAAAGGGAATTAGGGCTAGTCAAACCTACATTGCAAAGCCCAGTGCTGTGTGGGCACAAAGGTGAGCCAAACAGGTTTTTTACCCTCAAGAATTTATAGTAGACGAATCAGACCAATCCTCAACCATAATAAAAAGTGAACTGTGCCAAGTTTTGCAATGTTGGCATAAGGAGAAAGCACTGTGGGAGAGCAGATGGGGAAGAAACGAACTCGAAATGGGGAAAATTCAGGACTTACTTGAATGGTTAAATCTTGGAGGATGCGTAATACAAATAATAGGTCACTGCTTTCCTACCAAGTGCTGTGTTTGGTGGTTTACATGTATCTCTTCTGGGACTCACTACAGCTGCGCTGGGTAAGTCCCTTCAGTAGTCCCATTTTACAGTGAGAAAACTGAGGCACAGAATGAGTCAAGTCTCTAAGTTCCAGGCTAGTAAGTGGTTGAGTGGGCTTTGAACTCCCAGGGTAATTCCAGAGCTGCTGTGCTTCAGCCTCACTTAAGAACAAAGGAGGCCATGAGGCAAGGCCTAGCATTGTGCAGGGCATGCCAGGGAACAATGAGAAGTCTGTGAGGCTGAAGCAGGGGTGGGGGCGGTGGGTGGGAGGGTGTGAGAGGGGAGGAGGAGCTTACCAGGATTTGCCATTTGATTCCAATGGCAACTGTGGAATCTATATGTCAAACTCTGAGTTTCACATATTCTATTTCATCTGCCATCATCACATCCCTATCAGAGAGTATGATTCCCATTTTACAGATAAGAGAACTGAGGCCCAGAGAAGTAACTTATTCAAGGTCACACAAATGGCAGATAGTGGGGCTGGCACCTGAATCCAGGGATCCAATTCCTGAACCCACTGCGCCAACCCAGTGTTCTCACGTGGTTGGAGCTCTCTGCAAGTTAACAACCGCCTAGACTTTACCCGGTTTACACATCCCGCCCCTTTCCATCTGTCTTTTCTCCTGACCCCCACTTAGCGCTTTCAGTTACAACTGCCAGTGCGCCCGCGCAGGGTTGGGGAACTCTTCCAGCCCAAAACAACTTCTAGTCCCAGAAAGCTTTGCGATCCCCCCAATAAAGAGCCTTAGAGCAGGGGGGCCACGCCCCACGCCGGCCCCTCCCACGCGGGCTGGCCCCTGCGGCCGGGGGCGTGTCCCCGGCGGCTGAGCCCGCGGCTCAGGGCGGAGCCTGGCCGCTGCGCGGAGCTGCGGGGCGCCGGAGCAGGCGGGCTCGGCGCGCAGGTGGCTCCTCCCCGCCTCTCCTGAGCTCCGGACTCGGCGTCGGCTGCCCAGCGAGCGCCTTTGTGCCCGGCTTCGGGGGCCCACTACGGCCGCTGAGATCCCAGACCCATTGTTTCACTTCTCTGTCTCTTCCGGGCAGGTGGCAGCTGAGTTCGGGGTCCGCACGTGCCAGAGAGGCGGCGGGAGCGCTGGGACCCGCGGACGCCGTCAGGGGCGTCCCCGGGTGCTCGGCGGGAGATGAAGTACCTGAAGCCGTGGTGGTCGGACGGCTGCGGCCTCCTGCACCTCACCATCCTGCTGAGCTTGGCGGGGCTCCGCGTGGACCTGGACGTCGACTTAGACCTCTACCTGCTGCTCCCGCCGCCCACCCTGCTTCGGGATGAGCTGCTTCTCGGGGGCGGCCCGACGAGCTCCGCCTACGCGCTCAGCACCTTCCAGGCCTGGGGAGTTTGGGGGCGCGCAGACCAGCTGCACCCCAAGGGCTGGGAGCTGGACCCTGCTGGCCTGTCGGAAGGGCAGCTGCTCCGGGAGGTACGCGCCCTCGGGGTTCCCTTTATACCCCGCACCCGAGTGGATGCATGGCTGGTGCACAGCGTCACGGCCGGGGACGCCGACGGGGCCCACGGGTTGCTTGGCGCCGCTGCTGCCTCGTCGACCGGAGGAATTGGCGCCAGTGTGGATGGCGGCAGCCAGGCTGCGCCGGGGGACAGCGGAGATCCCCGATCGACCCAGAGTAGCCCCTTGGCAGCCGGGGAGGAGGCACCGCCGGCTGGACCGACGGCTCTTGTTCCCGACGCCGGCGGACGCGCGAACGAGGTAACTGGAGAGCCGGGACGCTAGAGAGGTGCAAGGGGAAGCTGGCTGGCAGCCCTACAGGATTGAGAGGGACCTAAGAAGAGGGACTCCTCTCTTTCACTCTCAGCCTGGGCGGTTACTGGTTCAGGGAGGATTCTGCGTCAGCCCCTGTGAATCCGAATGAAATGTATCAGTGCTGTCTGTATCTTTCCGCGTTTTGAGAAGTAGGTGAAACCATTCGGTTTGAGTCCTGTGTTGGACGGCTGCCTCTTTAGGGCACAGGGAGGGGAGGAAGAATGCTGGAACTTAACTTACCCACTATTTTCAGTTCCTCGTGTTCACGGAAATGTATGTTTTCTGGACCCTATTCCTTGACCCAGAGGATCCGAGAGAGGCCTCAGCCCCCGGGAGGATGTGCATTTCTCTTAAGAGCAACATCTTTTGCTACTCCCCTGGGTTAAGAAGCCGTGGTCATTGTCCCCTCGGGATCAGGTGGCAGACCTCCCCCGCTGGTTCCTCACCTTAATAAACCTCCTTCCTAAAATTTGTTACAGTTACTCCTTATTAGCACAGAGAAAGCAGGTACTCTGACAGTCTTCTAGAAACTAAAATACTCCCTTTAGCTAATGGTTCAAATCCTTCTGCTTAACTTCCTTTAGGACCAGAGCTCACCAGGATGGGTTGATGCATCTATGGCCAGGTCAAGGCTAAGGACACTTACTACCAACTTCCACAAAACCACCTGATAGACGGTTCCTTTTAAAAAAGGATCTTTTTAATTCTGTTAGCCCAAGTGTTGGTGTTAGCAATTGGTAGCGACCAACAAGTGTTCCCAGGTGTTGTTTTTGTGTATGCAGTCTTATGCAAAATGGGAATTGGGGCTAGACAGGTTTGTTTGCTGCGCTTCAGAATTGCCCTGTTTGTGTAGGCAGTTGCCAGACGGGCTTCTCCACCCTCTCCTGGAGGGTCATTGTGTCGAAGTGCTGGGTGATTCACTGTTATGCAGATCTGATTCCTTCCCCTTTATGGGGCCGGAAATAATGGGGTGGGGGTTAGAATGAGCCTTGCTGGGCTCCAACAGTTTGCAGGTTGCCCCACCCCCTCACTCATTCAAACCTTATTGGGGGTGGTCTCTCCTGAATCCTCTACCTCCTTAATGAGTAGTGAGTGCTGTTCTGCTACCTTTGATGATTCTGTAACATGCAGGGGTGAAACCCAATGCTGGATGCCATACCAGATGGCACCCTGCCCACCTCGCAGCTGAATAGCAACCAGCTGCAAAATATACAGAGATCTGGGGGAAGGGAGGGAGCCGTTCTTTTCATGAACTTCTCTTCACCTTCCAGCGTCACCTGGTTGATCCGTATTCAGAACGAAGCCTGCCCTGGGACGAAGCTCTAGGGGCTTAGGCCCAGCCAGATCTCCTTGGAGTTAGATCTTAGGTGCAGGTTTCCTAGTCGAGAGGGTGAAGTTCACGCGGGGTCATGCTCCTGGTGTTGCTTTCCTGGCAGACATGTGTGAACCTGCTGACCGTGGTAGCTGTGATGACCTCGTTATCTTCTTTCTGGAAATGATCAGCTGTCAAGTACCTTAGGATTTTTGGTCAACTTACCTTAATTGGTGATGTCTTGTACCTCAGCCTAAGAGTTGTACTGGCCAGACATCCTGATATCCAGTTTGGACTCTTAGAAAAAAATCAATCGTGTAAAAGTGCAGATATAATTGGCTTTATTAAACGATTCATGAATCCAGCAGCATCTCGTTAGGAAATAGAAGGGTGCTGTCAGGGTTTGTCCTACATGAAAGATTTTTATTGTCAGATTTGGTTGGACAAGGTTTTACTGTTGTTTCAAAGAAACAGCAAAATGTTAAAGGCTGCGCTCCTTAAGGGAGAGAGGTGCGTATGTGTCCACGTTTGTGTGAGAGTCTGGAGGGGAACCTTAGGCAGATTACCTGCTGGTGTGACCAGGACAGGTCTAGATTACATTCCTGACTGAGGCTGAAACTGCAGTTACATTAGACACTAAGCCTTGGTTTTGAGAGGTGGCCAGGTGTGACTCCATTTTGAGCACGTTTTTCGTTTTAACAGTACTTAAGGAAAATGAGAGGCCCTACGAAGTTAGGGGACTTGGTTAAAGTGTAGTTGATTCGTGCCAGACATGGCACTAGAGCCTGAGCCTCTTCATCCCAGACGTGCACGTGGTTAAACACCATGGTGTTGCCAACCCAACGAGTGCACACCGCGGCTGTGGTCTGTTTCTCCAGACCGGCACGCTGCCTGACCCTGGGCCTCTGATCTCTTTTTAAAGCAACCATTCCATCCAGAATGTAAGGTTACACTTTAAAACCATGACTCCAGGAGAAATGGGCTCCAAAAACAACTGGAGGCTTTGCCAGGTCTGGGTTTAGGGGCACACCACTAACTGTGCCCTTATTCTCAGGGAGCCTCGGTGTCCATCAGATGGGAGAGGAATGCTTTTCTCAGAGGCATTGTGAGGAGTAAATGGGAGAAACAGGTGTGATAGCTCCATGTGAGAATGTGACTCTTGTCTTTTGCCTTCATCCTCAACACCCCTTCCTCCCCTTCCTTCACCTGCACCCACTCACTTACTTTATCTCCTATTGGCTTGTTTGGCTTGGCTGGTTGCTTGTGGAGGAGTGTGGGGTAGGTGGGAACCATGTGGCCTGGTTCAGGATCTCAGCTCCACCAAGCTCTGTGACCTTGGGCTAGTTTCTTAGCCTCTCTGTGCTCCATTCTCCTCACCTGCACAATGGCAACAATGAGGTGCCTGTCCACAGGCTGATGTGAGAATAGCACGATTCATTGCCTAACTGTGCCTATCAGATCTTAAATGCTTATTAAGGCTAACTCCTATTAACTTTGAAGAGAGGGGATGCTTTGCCCATAGGACAATCATTGTTATGTTTTATTTTTCAGTAGATAATTCTGATGGCTTATTTAGATTGTAGGAAGTTCTGATTTAATAGTATAACTTCACAAAATTTCTGTATATGTGCAGAAATATGGTGGAGTGGGGGGTTTTTCCAGGTATCAAAAGAAGGACAGGTTAGGTTTCACTTCTTGGTTAGTTTAATCATTATCTGAAAACAACCCGGAATTCCCCAGAACATGCTTCCCTTCATAACCACAGCCATTCACATACATGTGAGGAAGCGAATATTCTTCAAAGTAAGACAGGCATTAAGCAAAGAAATCTACCACTTCTGCAGAAGTGAAGGTGTGAGCCTCATTTGAAGGTGGGGTGGAGGTTACAGCCAGCAAGAGTTTCAGAGAGCTGTTGCCACATTGGGAGGGCTGGCTGTCATCTTGATGTTTCCTGCCTTGGAAAGGTGACCCTCTGCTGCGTAGGCATCCATCAGGACTCTGGAACTACTGTCTGTTGCACTGGATTTCTTTAGGCCACAGGAAGAACCTGATGTAGTCAATCAGTACTTCTTAGAGTAGAGAAAAAAGAAAGAAGTCCTTGATCATTCAAGTAAAAATTGGATTTTGTTTCAAAAGATGGTCAGTGACGCTTGGGCAGTTGGAGATCAATGAAATTTCAGAACCTGGCCTACTTTAAAATCACAAATATGTAGAAATAGTCTCCCAATTACAATGTACATTTCAGTGCAACAAAATTTCACATTATCCTTCATTTTTCTTTGTAAGAGACTTGGTAAAATCTCCTAGGGACATCTTATGGGCAAGGGTGGCATATATTAGTGTCTTAGGTTGTCAGAACAGAAATTTCCAGGGCCCTCCCTGGTGGAGCAATGGGTTAAAGTCCAGCACCATGAAGCTAGCCACAGCCACTTCAGCACAAGATCGATCCCAGCAGGGAGCTGACCCATATGGCGCAGCAGACCTCTCCTGGTCTCGCCCTCTGCTCCCCTCAGCAGTGTACTTTGTCATTCTGCCTGTTCTGCTCCCCACTTTCTCTGGTGAATCCTCTTACCATCCCTGCACCTCTGGTCTGTACCCCAGTTCTGTGTGTATAAATAAAAGACAGAAATTTCCTCTCTCAGTTCTGGAGGCAAAAATGAAAATCAATGTGTTGTAAGGGGGGTTCCTTGTGAGGACTGTAAGGGAAAATCTGCTTTTGGCCGGCCTCCTTGCTCCTGGTGGTTTGCTGGTAATTTTTGGCAGCCCTTGGCTTCACTCACATCATTCTCATCTCTGCCTTCAGCACATGGCATTTGACCTCGTGCACTTTTGTGTCCGGATCTCCTTCTGTTAGGGGCACCAAACTATGAACTAGAGGGTCTACTCTGCTCCACTTGACCTCATATTAACTAATTGTGCCTGCAAAAACCCAGTTACCTAGTAAGTTCACATGCTAAATTACTGACAGTTAAGACTTCAATGTATGGATTTTAAAGGATACAATTCAGTCTGCTCCACAATCACCTTCTCCCTTCTGACAACTCTCTGGGTATTCAGCTTGCTTTAGCAAAAGCCTCCAACCCCTGAAAGCTAAGGCAGCTGGCATGTGGCAGGTCATTTGCTGTAGACTTGGTACGTACTCAGGAGAAATCTGGGTGTTTTTGCTTGCTTTATGGGCAACTGCTGTGGATCTTTGTTTAAACCATCTTTCCAATCAGTTTTTTGCCTCAATCGGTAGGTTGAAGAGCTGTCTTCTCTGTAAAGTCCCTTGCATTCTCTTCATCCCCCCTACTCAGCTCACTTGGAAGTCAGTGCAGGGCCTGAGTCATGATGCCAACAGACCGGCAGCTCCAGAGCTGTTTGTGCTGCCCATGAGCTCAGACCAGTGGTAGATCTTGACTCCATTGCTGACAGGCTGTGTGATCTGGGGCAGCATCTTAAAGTCTCTGAGCCTTGGGTCCCTTCTCTGTGATTAAATGGGATCATGTAGGTTTACCAGGTTGGTCCAAGGTAAGCCAGTAACCTTAGTTACTGCTGTTAACTCATCTGGGACTCTGTAATTACTCACCCCCCCAGCCTCCCCAATTTATACCTGTCCATTCTGGCCAGTTGCAGGTTTCCAAAGCACACTTGG